TAATTCCTGCATTTAAACACAAGAAAGAGGGTATAAAGAAAGTCTTCACTCTATTTGATGTTGGTATAATTTGTGGAGGGGAAGGGAAAAAACAAATCGTTTAACTAGGGATACAGCTGGCCCCATTGCAACAATGAGATGTACAAGTCTTTATGTCGAAAAACGAACTTTACAATTTTGGTGTGTGTGGGAGAGAATCAGGGGGATGAGGAGGAGATTATGGGAAGGGATAGGAAGGGGAAACAAAGGAGGCAACAATGTTTACTAAGAAATGTACTCGTTATCTTGCCCATGTAATTGTAAATCCTCTGTACAGTATTCGCACAATAAAAAAATAAAATATAAAAAAAAGAAAGCCTTCAACTCAAGCTGCTGCTTTTCCCATACCTATAAGATAATCCTTTGATTAGACTCAAGGGGAGAAGGACCAGTCAAGGAAAGGAACCATAGGAATGAAGACCTACCTTGGTGGCCAGCCTCAAACCAAGTTGTTCTGAAAAGAACATTCCTTCCTGCTTTCCTTTTCATTGCCTCAGTATTTCTCTAATGTTTATACAACTCACTCTGATTTAAAATATAGGTCAACACCTCAATTTAGAGAACAGTGAAGTTAATATTTAGTTGAAATATATTTAATAATGCCATTTGTATTTAAAAGGTGTAAATAGGTGGCATCTTCTTTTAAAAATCTGAGGAATGTAGTGCTGAAGTCGTCATCACATGCAATTTCTCTTCAACTGGCATTATTTTTGGCTAACTTTTGAAATGAAAGAGTGTAAAACTTTTTTAAAAATATAATTAGTGCAGATTTATGAGCAAAAATATTCATCTGGCTGTGGATCCATAATTTGTTGGTTTTTCTATTTTTCTTTGTGGTGGCTATCAAACAGACTTTTAGGAAAACATAGGCAAACTATCAGTCGCCATACCCTTGATGATTTGGGTTCTATTTAATTTTTTGTGCTGATCCTGGGACTTGCGCTCATTGCCTGTGCACTGTCTCTAAGCTTTTACTGCTGAGGCTACTACTCTAAAACTTGGGCCATATTTCTACATCCATATTTTTGGTTGCTAATTGGAGATAAGACTCACAGACATTCTGTCATTGGGCCCAACTTCAAACCAAGGTTCCTATATCTCAGCCTCCATAATAACAAGGATTATAACCATGAGCCACTGTTAGCCACATTGTGTCATTTTTTAGAAGCAGCTGTAAATAATAATAATAGAAAACTATCACTATAACTAAAGGCTCAAACCTGTAATCCCCTAGCTATTCAGAGGCTGAGATCTATAGGATCATAGTTTAAAGCTAGACTGGTCAGAAAATTCAGAGTTTTTTATTTTTTTAACCTGCTGGCCCCAGAGCTTAAATTCAGTCCTTGGCACTGTATATGAGTTGCTTTTCATTAAGGCTAGTGTTCTACCTCTTGAGCCACAGTGATACTTGCAGCTTTTCCTGAGTAGTATATTAGAGGGAAGAGGTAAGGAGACTGCCCAGTCTGGCTCCAAACAACCATCTAAAAACCTAAGCCTCCAAAGTAGCAAATCAGATATTATTATTTTCAACTAAGCAGCAAAAATAAACAGACTGGAGGTATGGTTCAAGTGTTACAGTTTCAGCCTTGCATGGAAAAAGTTAAGGAAATTTAAGCCCCAGTATTGGCACATATGCACACAAAAGCATGTAGATACATACATACACAGGGTCCTATACTCAATTCCCCGGGATGAAAAAAGATTAAATATTAAATTAAATTACAAGGACAAAAATGAGTAATTTAAACAGTTAAAAAAAAAAAACAAAAACATGATAGCCATGTGCTGGTGGCTCATGCATTTAACCCTAGCTACTCAGGAGGCTGAGATCTGAGGATCGTGGATCAAAGCCAGTCCAGACAGGAAAAGTCCATGAGACTCTTATCTTCAATAATCCACTCAAAAACCTTGAAGTGGTGCTGTAGCTAGAGTTGTATAGTGCTAGTCTTGAGCTGGAGACCATAGGTACTGAGCCCAGGCCCAGAGTTCAAGCCCATGACCAACAAAGAACAAACAAACAAATAGAAAATTAAAAAAAAACTGCCATAGCTGAATTGTGACTTAGGTGTTAGAATACTTTCTTCCCATAAACGAGGTATGAGTTCAATCCCCAGTGTTGTTCATACCAAAACAACCCAATAAAAGCACACCAATAACAATTTAACAAAAAATATATCATACTTTGTAAAGAAAATTAAAACTTACAAAAATAATTGAAGTAGAGCTAACATGTGACTCATATCCTATTAAACACCAAAAAAAAAAAAAAAAAAAGGCGTAACTTGAGCTGAGGCTTAATAGCCTGCTAGCTTCAAAATAAAAAGAAAATACCAAAAACAAAACAACACTCAGAGAGAGTCCACAGGCCCTGAATTCAAGCCTCTCCCAACTCCCAAAAGAAAAAAACCCTCAGGAGTTGAGTTTTTGTTCCTGCAAGCTTTGAGCAAAAAACAAAATCCAAAAATCTCATGGGCAGTGAAGTAGTGTGGCATAAATTGTAGAGCCTGCTAGTTTTGATCTAAGAAAACAAGCCAGGTTTCTCTGGCTCATGCCTGTAATACTCACTGCTCAGGAAGCTTCCCACAAAGGGAAGCCAGTCCAGGCTGAAAATTCCCCTGGTGACTGTTTTTTTTCAAATTAAGTGGAAGTGGCACTGTGGCTGAAAGGGGCAGTGTGACTGCCTTATCCCTGACAGACAATACCCAGGCACTGAGTTCAATCCCCACAACCGACAAAATAAATAAATAAATACTGAGTGTGAATAGCTAGGCCCTAATAATAAAGGACATGAACTTTAAAAAGGGGGGAAGGCAAATCAAATAAATGAAAAGGTGCAAAAAGGAGCATATTAAAGATTTCTAAATCATGGCTCAAAACTGCAATCTTACTTGCTCAGATTGCTGAAATCTAAGGATCGTGTTTCAAAGCCATTCTTGGCAGAAAGTACAGAAGACTTAATTTACTGTGTTCAGTACTGGGGCTTGAACTTGCTATGATTTCCTTATGGCTAGAGGTCTACTTCTTCCTACCTCTTGGTGGTTAATTAGAGATCATTTTCTCATTGATTTTCTTGCCCAGATTGGCTTCCAACCATGATTCTCAGATTTCAGTCCTCCCTGTAATGCTCTTGGCTTGCTGTTGATATTCTAATCTCCTATTGACCACCGAAAAAGCAGAAGCTGAGCTGTGGCTCAACTAGTGAAACCTGCCACCATTAAGGTAAAAATAAAAAAATCCTCAAGGAGAGTCGTCAGGCCTTAATTTCCAGAACTAACAAGCAGCACTCAATTTAAAAAAAAAATTAAAAAAGAACCTCAGTCACCATTACCTGAGTTTGAGCCCTAGAAGAAGAGTTACAAAAAAGAGATACAGCCTGTAGTTTACCTGTGGTCAAATTTGTAAAGCATGGTAGTTTCAAGAGGAAAGAAAAAACTAAGAATGAAAGCTAGCCCCTAAGAACAATTGTCAAAAAAAGAAATAATAAATAACCGGAAAAGGTGAAAGAAAAGGTAATTAAAGATTTGTAAATGTTGACTCACACTTATAATCTTGAGTGCTAAAGTCACTGAAGTCTGAAGATCATGGTTCAAAGCCATCATGGGCAGGGAAGTCCATGAAACTTGCTTCAGTTTGTTCAGTCGAGGGACTTAAACTTGAAGTGTTTTGCTCATGGCTAAAGCTCTACTATCTTCTGGCTATTAGTGGTTGATTGGTGGTAAGTCTCATAGACTTTGCTGCCCAGGCTGACTTTGAATAGTGATCCTCAGATTTCAAGCCTCACTGTACTGCCCTTGACTACCCATGGGACTCTTGTCTCATATTAAACACTTTAAAAAAAAAAGGCAGAAGTTGAGCTGTGGTTCAAGTAGTAGAGCCTTCTACCTTTCAGTTAAATAAGTAAATCAATAAAACCTCAGAAAGAGAGGGGCAGAATGAGAGTGAAAGACAGGAAATCCTACACTAAACAAAAGTAGAGAAATGTAAATATCACCCGTTGTGGAAGAAATAAATTGTATTGTCAAAGCTTATAGAATTCACAAAATTTATAGTCCATGATAATGATAATTTGACTTGTGAAGGTTAAAATATGTTTGTGATTTCAACTAAATATCACTATTCCACAATTCTGTGAAATAAGAGAAATTAAGGTAATCATCTAATCTCAATAATAATAAAAACCTCAGAAAGAGTCACCAGGCCTTAATTTCAAGCCCTAAGTCACTAACATGCCCCAACTCCGACCAAAAAAAAAAAAAAAAAAAAAGACACTCTGACTAGGACCTGAGTTCTTACACTAGGAGCAGAAGCCAAATGAAACAAAAAGTAGACTGTAGTAGTCCTATAGCCCAAGTAATAAAGCAAGCTACTTTTAAGAGGAAAGAAAAAGAAAACCTGAGAATGAAGGCTAGACCCTAAGCCCCTGACTCTTCCCATAATGGAAAGTGAATCAATCATGGAATCTAAGTTTGTGCTTGCTCTTGGGATCACAGCTGAAAATGTCCCTTCAGTTCTAGGCCCTCCAATCAAAAATGGAAGGCAGGCTTGTTCTGGGCTTCTGGCACACAAGGACCTTGTGTAGAGGAAGTTCCTCCTCTTCTTTCCTGGATCCCAGGTTTCAGCCTCTCTTGTGAGTCAGAGTGGGTAGTGGATGGCAGGGTGACCAGAGGATCCAAATAGAATGGGAGCTGTGCTAATGGACTTGCAGCTGGGAGCTGGATACAAGGGTAGGTGGGAACTGGTAGGGCCCTCTGATTACCCAGCAATAGGGAGATTGAGTTGGAGCACCTGCTGGCTCCACCTGTAATCAAGTCCGCCCCACCTCCTCTGCCCCTGTAACAACCAGAGGTATAAATGGGGATCTGAGTTCACTGTGTCAGATTCCTGCTTCCCAGCTCTACCTGTTTGCCTCTGTGGGCACCACTGCTGAAGACACACATCCATCTGTTCTGCAGCCCTGCACCATGAGGGAGATTGTGTACATACAGGCAGGCCAGTGTGGCAACCAGATTGGTGCAAAGGTGAGCATGGCACTGGCCTAGGATCCAGTCTCAAATTTAGGGGAAGGAGAAAAAGGATGGGGTTGGAGTGTGGAGGTGGTGGTGGTCATGGCTAGGCTGAGGTAGGTGGGGCTCCATAGTGGTCCCTAACCTTCTGCAAATGAAGCCCCCAGATAGCTTCTCCAATTTCCCTAATTTGTGTGGCCCTGGTGGGTGTGGTTTTTAAGCAAGGCTGGGGTGGTTTCAAATCCCTTGCATGTCTTAGTCTTACCTGAGACTCAAGTCTTTGTATTTAGTTTCCTGGGAATAGACTAATGCACGTTTGGTCTGGTTTGAATGAAAGGAATGCAGTGTCTTTGAGCTGAAAGATACAGAGAATTCCCTTTGTGTCAACTGATGAGTGTCAGATAATTGAGAACATTTCTTTTACCTTAATGCAAATTTCTCTGAGTTTCATGCTCCATCTCAGCTCCCTTAAGTTGGGTGTTTTCTAAATCATTGGTTGTCATGTATGCTCTGAGGACACTTGGGGTTCTGGAGACCCTTCTAGCTGAGTCTTCAAGTTACTGCTTTGGTAATTTCATGTCCATGGAAGGCCAGTTACTCATCATAGAATACAAACAGAATATGGTACTGCATAAGATGGAATACTCATAGGAGAAACCAGATGTCTTCTATTCAGCCAGATAAAAGAGATTAACAAAACTAAAATACCACCATTTTCTGTGCTTTTTTTAATTTAGAAAATGTAATTATTTTTTACAAATATATTTGTGTCAACAGGACATGAGTTTCTTAGTTACTTTAAAATGCATTTTTTTGGACAGTTAACATTCTAGGTCATAATATACTTCTATTTCCATCTCAGTTTTGGGAAATGCTAAGCGACGAGCACAATATTGACTGCACTGGCAACTACTATGGGGACAGCCATTTACAGCTGCAGAGAATCGAGGTGTATTACAATGAGGCAGCTGGTAAGTTTCTTCCATCTTGTTTCCCATACCGTGGCAAAATAGTTCCCAGGGGAATACTAATGAAAAGGAAGGAGTTCCTGCCTTTCTTATGGTAGTATTGTAGTTTTAATTTGGGACCTTGATCTTATAAGTCAAGTGCTGTACCCAACTGAGCCACTCCACCAGATACTTTGTTTTAATTTTTGAGTATACTCTTGTGAATTACCCCAGGAAAGCCTTATACCTGAGTTCCCCCTACCTCTACTTGCTGACTAACCACACCTGGATTTGTTTTTTCCGGTCATGGAGCTTGAACTCTGGGCCTAGGCACTGTCGCTCAACTCTTCAGCTCAAGGCAAGCAGCTATACCACTTAAGCCACAGTGCCACTTCCAGTTTTCTGGTGTTTTATTGGAGATAAGAGTCTTGCAGGCTTTTTATGCCCTGGCTGGCTTTGAACCATGATTATCTGATCTCAGCCTTCTGGGTAGCTAGGATTAAAGGCGTGAGCCCATTTCACATAATTAAAAATGAGACTGCCTAAATATGCATTCTAAAACAATTGATAAAATATAATCCAATGCCATTTGGTTGTGTGCTGATCATCCTAAGCTCAAGCCTGGGCACTAACTATGAGCTTCTTTTATTTTGGGTAGTTTCTTGGAGATGAGTCTCCAAGCCTTTCCTGCCCCAGCTGACTTCAATCTGCGATGCTAAGGTCTCATCTCAGATTTTTGAGTAGCTAGAATTACACCCTTATGCAACCAGAGCCCAGTTACATTGCCTCTTTAAAATACAGATTAAATTTCTAAAACAATATTTTGAAAAAGAAAATTTTAAAAATTTTAAAGAGGGATGTTCAGTCACTAATATATATGAGAATAGTCCAAGTCACAAAGCATAGTCTCACCCTGAAATCTATAACATTTCTGGTCTTGAGCATTTTGAATATGAATACTTAGCCAACAGTAAATTATTTTTAAGGTTTTTAAAGTAAGAAAACATTCTTGTGATGTAGAAAAAATCAATACTAATTTGTAAACATGGCTTTTAAATGATTCATATTGTCTTTCCTAACATAAACAGCCTAATTGAAGTCTACAGAGTAGATTTTCAGTTTTTGTAACTGTCAATGTAAAGTTCATTTAATTTTATATTGAGTTTCCATTCTACATTATTGTATACAAACAGAATCATGGATAATTGGCTTTCCTGTGTATTAATCCAATGAACAAGTACAAACAAAATTACAAAGCTATTTAATTTATGTGAGTTTTATAGATCTACATTTTGGGATGTCCTCACCTTGGTATTTTGTGTTAATATTGTTGAAGTAACATACAAGGTTTTAATCTTCTGATTCCTTGGTTGAGAGTGGTTGGGTTGGATTGTGTCACTCCTATGAACAGAATTTTAGGTTGTGTCTTTATTAGATCCTGTATATCCAGCAGGATGGTCAGTTTTCTTCATGTGAATGTTTAGGAAGGGGGTATTCTAAAACTGGTGTTTACATCATGTTAACTGCTTTCCCTTGGGCCAAATCATGTTAAATGGGAAATTGCAAGTCATTGCCCAAGGTTGCTCTGAGTATTTGAATAAAGGATATGTGCTATTTGATAACCATTATTGAAACATTATAAGACAAGAAATATATATATTGTATATATGTTTTCTCCAGGAAAGCCTTACACTTGAATTCCCTTACATCTACTTGGTGAATAGCCATACCTGGCTTTTTTTGGCCCGGGGGGGGGGGGGGGTCGGTCATGTGGCTTGGACTCTGGGCCTAGGCACTGTCCGTCAACTCTTCAGTTCAAGGCAAGCAGCTCTACCTCTTGAACCACAGTGCCATTTCTGGTTTTCTGTTAGTTTATTAGAGATAAGAGTCTTAAGGACTTTTCCTGCCCCAGCTGGCTTTGAATAGTCATCCTCTGATCTCAGCCTCCAGAGTAGCTAGGATTACAGGCATGAACCTGGTTCATTTCTTGATAAAGGTAATTGGGGAAGGGAAGGGATAGTGGGAGAACAACAAAGGAGGGGGTAACAATTTTTGACAAGAAACGTTCTCATTTCCTTACTCATGTAACCAACTCCTCTATACAGCACCTTTACAATAAAATAAAATTAACAAAAAAGAGGAAGTTTCTTGCTGATAGGCACTGGTGACTCATTCCTGTAATGCTGGCTACTTAGGAGGCTAAGAACTGAGGATCATGGTTCAAATCTTGCCTGAGCAGGAAAGTCCCTGAGACTCTTATCTCCAATAAGAAAACTGAAAGTGGGGTTGTGGCTCAAGTGATAGAGTGCTAGCCTTGAGCTGGAGAGCTGAGGGACAGTGTCCAGGCCCAGAGTTCAAGCCCCACGATGAACCAAAAAAAAAAAAGGTGTTGTCACCTTTCTTTTGCACCATTAGACTCAAAGCCTGATGCTCATCTTTGCCTCCTGTGTAGCTGAGATTTCAGCTACCATGCCCAAAGCAAAGGAATGAATATTCATGGAAATAGACAACTGCAAACATCCTTAAAGTTGCTGAAGCCTTTTGCATGGGGATTCATGCTCAAGATATCTTTTCTGTTTCCATGTCTTAAATGCTGTAATTTTTGTAATGAATGCTGAGAGTCACTTAGAATCATAAGCTCTGCCCTAAGTTCCTTGTCAAGTATAGGCCTAAGTCAACTCTTTTTCTCACAGGCAACAAATATGTTCCTCGGGCCATCATGGTGGACCTAGAGCCTGGCACCTTAGACTCAGTAAGATCGGGACCATTTGGCCAGAGCTTTAGGCCAGACAACTTCATATTTGGTATGTCATCATGGTCCATGGGTCCTAACATCCAGGCACTCCAGTGCTGGGCTGAGCCTTTATCCACCTAGATATTCTCCTCAGCTAACCCACCTATTCCAGTCCACGGGAGTCATGCCCGTGGCCACTCAGACAGCTCAGATCAGTGCAACTCTGTAAGTTCTCCATGACAAAGAAGCCTCTGAAGGGAAAGAGCAGCAAGCAGAGAAAGCCACCAACAAGGTTTCAGCACTGCTGGTCATTTTAAAGGCCTGGCAATAACAGAACCACTTCAGGACACCAGAAATCAAAGCACAGCTATGTGTGAGCAAGGAGCAGACAAGTGCTTGCAGTTTAGCTTCCCTCTGACCACACTGTGCTCCTGTCCCTGTTGTGAAAGTAATTACATTTCCAGTATTGAGGCAGGCTCAGTTCTTCATTTCTAGAAGTACTTGATTTGGGTTAAAATGTATTTTCCTCCACACTCTCTACTTTTCTTTAGAACCTGGGTGATTTGTAGGGTCCCAGATACATTGAAAACATTTCCTTTATTTCACCATAGTGTATCTAAAATAATAGCAAAGGTTGGCTCACAACACTCCTTTTTCTTCACAATAGGACAGGCACAGTCATTATTCTTGGAGTCTGTGTCTCATCATGTCTTTATGTCTGATAGGCCAGAGCGGGGCAGGCAATAACTGGGCAAAAGGCCACTACACGGAGGGAGCCGAGCTGTTAGAATCGGTGCTGGATGTGGTACGACGGGAGTCAGAAAGGTGTGACTGTCTCCAGGGTTTCCAGCTGGCTCACTCCCTGGGAGGTGGCACTGGATCAGGCATGGGCACCCTGATTCTCAACAAGATCCGAGAGGAGTATCCAGACCGCATCATGAACACCTTCAGCATCATGCCCTCCCCCAAGGTTTCAGACACCGTGGTAGAACCTTACAATGCCATCTTGTCTATCCACCAGTTGGTGGAAAATGCAGATGAAACTTTCTGCATCGACAATGAGGCCCTGTATGACATCTGCTTCCGCACCCTGAAGCTGCCCACACCCACCTATGGAGACCTGAACCACCTGGTGTCTGCCACCATGAGTGGAGTCACCACCTGCCTGCGCTTCCCCGGCCAGCTGAATGCAGATCTGCGCAAGCTGGCCGTGAATATGGTGCCCTTCCCCCGCCTACACTTCTTCATGCCTGGCTTTGCACCCTTGACCAGCCGGGCCAGCCAGCAGTACCATGTTCTCTCTGTGCCCCAGCTCACCCAGCAGATGTTTGATGCCAAGAACATGATGGTCGCCTGTGATCCCCGCCATGGTCGTTACCTGACAGCAGCTGCCATCTTCCGAGGCCGCATGTCCATGAAGGAGGTGGATGAGCAGATGCTCAACATGCAGAACAAGAACAGCAGCTACTTTGCAGACTGGATTCCCAACAATGTGAAGACAGCTGTATGTGACATCCCCCCGCGTGGCCTTACGATGTCGGCCACCTTCATTGGCAACAACACAGCCATCCAAGAACCCTTCAAGCGCACCTCAGAGCAGTTCAGTGCCATGTTCCGGCGCAAGGCATTCTTGCACTGGTACACGGGAGAAGGCATGGATGAGATGGAGTTCACTGAGGCTGAGAGCAATATCAACGACCTGGTGTCCGAGTACCAGCAGTGCCAAGATGCCACTGCTGATGAACAGGGGGAATTTGAAGAAGACTTGGTGGAGGAAGAAGTTTAAGACTTCCCATTGGTAGCAGTGCAACAGGACTGTCAGAACCTGCCTCCTACTTCTCAAATGAATGGTGCTTTCCTGAGATCCTGTTGTCATGCATTGAGGTCCCTGCTGTGTATCATCATGCACAGCCTTTCCGGTCAGGAACTAACTGATGGTGAATGTAAAAATGCAGATTTCTTTTAAATAGTATTATTTTAAAGCCCTATTTATATAAATAAAGAAGTATACATTTTGTACTCTTGAGTCCTTATTCTTTAGAATCCCTTTTATTCTTTCAATATATTTGAAATATAAAGTTGGCCAGCAGGATTTAATCTTAGCAATATAGGACTGGTGCTCAAGAGGAGTTTCAAATTCATGGTGTTCCTATTATTTTGAACAGGAGGATGACAAGTGCCAATGTTGTTTATTTTCCCTGGCCCAGTTTTAAAGTTAGCAGTCTCTCAACAGCATGCCAGTAGCATAAAAGCAGTTTGAAGAGAAAGTAAACCAGATTCAGATGTTAAAATTTTCCTAGTACCAAAGTGATGTTTGGAATACTGAAGGGATTGATGTTCAAGACTTGTCTGGGCACTGAGGCAGCAGGGCCTCTTCCTCCTTTATTCTGACACAGGACTTGCTTTACCTGCCCCCTAGTATGCATTCCTCTTTGGGAATGGGACCACAAAATGCAGGTATGAATACTGGCCATTAAGGATCTACTTCTCCTTCAGACAACAACAGGTTCTGGTCTCATGCCCCATCAGAGGGATTTCATTCACATTCCCCAGAAACAGTAGCAGGAACCCCAATCCCTGTGCTTACGGTTCAGTTGGCAGCGAAGCAGCACTCACAAGATGAGTGCAAGATCCTCATTGCCAGGGTAGTTTCTCAAGTCATCTGGGAGCTCTAAGGACAGAAGTGAGTCTAGCTGTTTGAGGGAGTGAGTATCTGACCAGTCCCATAGCGTATCAAGATCTGCTTGATTCAGTACTTACAAGTCAAGGAGTGGAAGGGAGACATGGCCCAATGACCCATTCTCATACTCATTTTCCAGCATTCGAAGCTGTCTGAGGCCCACAGAGGGTTGTAAGGGAAAAAGATCCAGCCTGTTGGGTATGTTTACTTTACATGAGTGAGACAGAAATCTCAATTGCTTAGAACCTACACAATGGCCAGGAAGAGGGTGAACACTTCTGTTTTCACCAGAGGCCAAAATCATTCACTGGTTCTTTTTGCCAGAATCTTTCACTCTTCTTGCAGTGAGGCTCAAGGTAGGTTGTCTGTGTCAGGCATTCCTCCATGGCCACCAATAACTTGTAAGAGCCCCTTTTTCTTCAGAAACAGGACCTATGGGAATCCAGCAACTTTTAGGAAGCTCTAAGGAAAGATACTACTGGGTGAGGTGCAAGTTCCTTGTTTCTAGTAAAGTTGGGAGATGGTAAGTTCCCTAAGCTTTCCTATACCAGGCCTGAGGTTGGGGTAGGGTGGGGAGGAGTGGGGTAGAGATCTTTAAGCCAAGTTGGTCTTACTCATCAGAAAGTAAACTGCCAGAGAGACTGATCTGTGACTAGAAGCCCCAGGGCAGATCAAAGTGCAAATAGCTTCCAATGTGTGAGTCCTAGGGAGTAGGTGTGGGCCAGGAAATTGACATCCCTGCATCTCTAGTCCTGGAACTGACCAGGTTGGATGACTCCAAATCCTTTAAGGCTGCTGGGTCCAAACTGAAGGCAGGCCTGGCCAAGGCACTCTCATTCTTCAGTGGGTTAAGGATTGAGGCCAAGCTGTGGTGGAGGCCCCACCCAGCCTATTTACCAGTGTTTGACTAAGAACAGTTTTGTTTTCTCTTAAGTACCCATTTTTGAGTATTTTCTGGTGGCTTTGGCTTATTTCTTTACACTTTTGAAGAAGTAGTTCTTGGTTCATAATTAATGACTCATGCCTCATCCCTCAGAAAACTCCTGTTGATAATTTTACCAGTAGATTATCATGTATTTTTCAGACATGGCTTTTGTTTTCTCCTAGCCAGAGGTCTGCACACATTGCCACACAAGCTAATGTTGAAGTGACTCCTATAGACAGGGTGATTATTTTGTCCAAATGCTAAGTGCAGCATCTCCCTTATTCTCATGTGCCTTGGTAATTGTATCAAATAATTGAGTCCTTGACTAGTATAAGCAAAGCTCTGGGTAAAGATGCAGCTCAGTGGTAGAGTACATATCTGGCATGCACAAAGCTCTCAGTTCAGTACCCAGTACCAAAAGGAGGAAAGGTAACAAATGTTAGGCTCCGCAGATGATATATTAGGAGTCAAGGCAAAACACCCAGATTGGCATTGAGGAGTTGTGTCATGAGGGAACACTGGTGGAATGTTTGTAGGTGGAAATAAGAGTCCCTTGATATGTGTACCCTTTTAGAAAGCAGAGGTAGGAATGGGGGATGAACCTCTGGTAGAGAGCCTAGGCCATCAAAGGAAGAAGCTGTGACATGTATGTTGCCCTAATGGGACCAGAGTCTAAAGTGGCACCATCATACCAGGCCATGGCTCAACAAGAACAGGTTTGTCAGAAGAACCTTCTTGCATTGGAGTGATTTATTTTGACCACTTTGGCCTTGTTAATCATATTTCCTTATGCTGTTTTCTTTTTTCTTCCAACTTGTCATACCTATAGCAGATCCTGTCCAGGGGACCCATTCTCTCTAATTTCATTCTCTAAAAGTCACCCAGTTTATAGCTGTACATATCCTAGACCAAAAAAGTATGGGGTGGATTTTCTGTCAGACATAGATTGAAACTGAAAGGTATTTTGAAGTAGACTTTGACAAGGTTCTGATATTGACATCGTTGTGTTGATAAATCCTGGAACTGTGACCAGCTTCTGGTCTAATTCTGAGGTGACAGTGGAAGAGAACTGGTGATAGGAAATCACGGACCAATGTGATTTCAAACCCTTGGCAGGTACATCTCCATTCATGGATGTGCTATCAGCCAACATACAGATGTCTGTTAAGGAGAGATGGCTGGGAAAAGGAAATATATTGGCGACAGAGGAGACCAGCCTTTGGACAAGTGGTTGCCTTTCAGTGTGAGGCAGACAAAGAGTGCCTATGGATACAGAGATATTTTCAGGAAGCAAGACAGCTTCACGCACATCTTGTTATCCACAAAATCATCTGAGAATAACTCTGTAAACTCAGAGGTGAGAGACATGTGCTTTGTGCTTCTGCACCACTGCTTTGCTGCGTGGCTCTATATGTTCTTCTGAAACCTCCTTCTGAGCTGGCCCACAATGTGCCCAGGAGGTGGGAAGTGGAGGGGACTTGGCAGCTTGGCTGCTAATCACTGTGGCCACACTGACATGGGGCAGTACACATGTGATGGGCATCGGCTCCATGCTAGTTGTATGTGCCCAGTGGGAGCTTTGGCTCTTACTAGGAGAAAGTAACAGTTCCTCTGTCGTTGGGCCATCTCCCAGGCCAGGATGTCTTCATCTGCAGAGGCTAGAACTTTGCCATAGCTCTCATCTTGACAGGTTTCTTTCTGTTTTTCAATTTTCTCGTTCTTTCTTTGTTTTTTGTTTCTTTTCTTTCTTTGTTTCTTTCTCTCTCCCTCTCTGTCTCTTTCTCTTTCTTTCTTTATCTCTTTGTTCCTTTCTTTCTTTCTTTCTTTTTTTGTTCTTTTTCTCGCCATGGGTCTTGAACTCTAGGCCTAGGAACTATCTCTCAGCTCTTCAGCTCAAGGCCAGCTCTCTATCACTTGAGCCATAGTGCCACTATCAGTTTCCTGGTCGTTTATTGGAGATAAATATCTCAAGGGCTTTCCTGTCCAGGCTGGTTTTTAACTGCCATACTCAGATCTCTGCCTCCTGAGTAGCTAGGTTGACAGTCAGGGGCCATTGGTGCCCAGCTTGACAGGTTTCTTATTTGTGCAAGATAACAATGGCCATGTTCTGTCCTGTGAGGAGTTTCCCTGTCATCCTACAACACTGATGGTCTTAGTGTTGTGGCAGAGCACACAGTAAGGGGGCTTTCTATGCATGCACATTGACTAGTATCTGAAAAGGCAGCTTGCAATGGCCAGGAAAGCTCCACAATTGCATACATCTCAATTTGGACTGGGCATGAACAAATTTTAAGTTCTAGTGTTGGTTCTTTTCCTTTGTGCACAGCTTGAGCAGGTTGTTTCCAGATGCCTGTCATTTAACTCAGTTACTCAATTAAGTCATCTGCTCTTTCTATGAGTCTGACTTAAAAGACTGTTTATCAGAGGCCAATAACTGATTTTAAGGCTAAGTGAAACACAGCAAGTGCTCAGGCATGTTGATTAAGAGTGCTATATATATAATGTACAGCTGCATGGTACTTGTGTTGTACACTTCTCATATCTTCACCGAATTCTAACTATTTCTTTTTGGGTCAGGGTCCGGTTGTGGGGCCTGAACTCTGGGCCTGGGCACTGTCCCTCAGCTCTTCTGCTCAAAGCTAACACTCTACCACTTGAGCCACAGCGCCCCTTCTGGCTTTTTTCTTTTTGCTTATGTGATGCTGAGGAATCAAACCCAGGGCCTCATGCATGTAAGGCAAGCGCTCTACCAATGAGCCACCTTCCCAGCCCCACTCTAAATATTTCCTATACAGAAGAAAGAAGCCATACATTTTTGGCTTATTTGCATAGGTATCTGAATCCAGCTAATGAGCCCATCTTACATTTGTTGGGGTTTTTTTGGTAGTTTATGGTTTGATTGAACTCAAAGCCTCATACATACTAGGCATGCACTCTACCACACCTCCAGCCCCCTTCTTGCTTTAAGTATTTTAAGTAATTTTTGGACATTGCTCTTCCCTCACATACACCTCCCTCAGAGCTGGGATTGCAGGCTTGAACGACCTAGCCACAAGTATTTGGTTTGAAATGTTGTAATCCCATTGTTATTCTGGGTTCTCTAATTGGAGTTTTGTGGTATAGTACTAGAAGGCAGTGCCTTCTTACTTGACCTGAAATTATAAGCCTTAATCAGTGGGCA